AATTTACATAAAACACTATGAAAGTTATAAGAAGCACGTTTTCGTATGCCGTCACATTTACTTCATAAAAACAATACTGTTGCCAGGAAATCGTTGTTACTTATACAATATGTTAAGCACACAATTGTACACAATTTTGTAGCACTGATGCAAGCGCTGTTAATCGGTATTATATTGTAAAACAAAACGAGTGGCATATTCTCTAATTGGAGTACTATTACCCGCAGTTATACCATCCTAATTAAACTCATAACAAATAAACATCAACAAAACAATAAGTCTATAATGGACTTATTTTGTAATATTCAACGATTGTATAACATTATAGAATTACAGTCGTATAAAGTTACGATAGTAGGCTTCTAAATTTAATTTAACGCATAGATTTTTGTTTTATTCGATTATTGTATTTTGATAGCACAATGAGAGATAACATGAATAAAATACTACTTCTTACAAACGTTGTATTATAATTCTTTAAACACATGAAGTATTGAAATGTATTTTAATGTATAACCTAAAATGATATCTATTATTTTGTTCCTTACTTGATAAAATAAATATACGTTTATTGAAATAGGTCAAAAATAGATAATTTATATTAACGATGCAATTATCTACTTATTCTTTATCACTTTTATCAATAATTATACGATTAAAAATCTACTTCAAGTCACTAATAAACGATACAAAAGATAATAACATTTATTACAAAATACATATTTACTATTCAGAGCTCTGGTTTTATAAACATATCTATATAGAGTATATATAGAAAGTGCCCCACATTTTGCGAGTAAAAATAATAAAGGCAAGGTTTTTGAAAAAAAAAAGGTATGAAGACATTTGTCACTTATCGTTCTGAGAAGTAATTTTAAACATATAGGCTTAAAATTGGCAAATTATAGATTACGGTTAATCGGCCACCTGTTCATGAGTCACGCATCGATAACACACTACAAGCGCTTACAAAAAGAGGAATGTATACAATGATGGTAATAATACCGTGTGTACTATTTATTTTGAATTAGTTGATGCTATTAACAAATAAACATAATGCGATTAAAAACTCATCGGAATTATATCAGAATTATATCGTTGTTTATTGACTGACATTGTCAATAAGAGAGGCATATAAACATAATTGAATAGTTACAATCAAGTGATATATGTACGGGTTATTATTTTATTACACAATAATTATAATTTTTTAATTTTATATATTTATTTTTTAATTCTTTTTAGTCTTGAATTAAAAACCAAAACAATATTATTAAGAAATACTTTCTTATTATTTAAAAATTTATTCTCTCAAAGTGTATTGTGATATTATTATCATTATTATTATTGATATATATTATAATTTATATATATGTATTATATATTGTATATAAAATATCCGAAATTTGCTGCTTAAAATATTGTAGTACGATGGTCTCGAAAAGTGAAGTAATGAAGTTTTATGTGTAATTCTTATTGTAAGAGCAGTATTTTTTAGATATAAGGGTTTTAATGTAATTAATTATAAACTATGTCTAGAAGACTACCTGTCTATGAGTCGTACGTACAATAGTATTAACAACCGTTTCTAAACGTAATCTATAATTATTGGTTATATTTTAACCCCTTATTATCTTGGAAGCTACTACTTAAAATAAACCTTTACACAGAATTCTATTACTTAACTTTTTGAGAACTTTTTTGCTGTATTATTTAGAGCGAATTTTTGTACATATACACACACGCACGCGCGCATATGTGTGTATATGTATGTATATTTATCATTATATAATCACCGTTTCTTATTCGTAAGTGTTATATACTTGTGTTCGTGAATTGTTACTAATATGGAATGGTTAAATGTATGGTAATATATAGGTTTTAAGAAAAACACTAAATTAAATAAAAAATATTAAAAAATATTATTATTTTATTTAAAATAAGAAGATATGCAATATATGAGTATATAATAAATGTATATACTCAATATACTTTTAATTATTTTTTTGTTATTAATTGTCATAAAAAACCTAGTTATTTTATAAGTAGTACATACATGTAGTAGTAGTAAAACATTAATACATTAACTATAATTATAAAGATTGTCTATAGTAACAAGTTAGAAAAAACCATTGAGGTTTGCTCTACTTGTGGTGCAGAACGCGAGCTTAGTTGTACAAGGACTTTGAAATAGTGAGGACTTAAAAAGTCTCGGATATCGTATACCCAAGTGTAATATATTCATAATTTTTCGTTAGAGTGATTAACATACATAATAATACATTTTTATTTATTTATTGTAAAATTATTTTATATACAAAATTTTTAAGATACGTATCACAAAATGTAGGAAGATTTAAATTCAAATCCTGGTTAAGGTAATATTTTTTGCGTTAAATTATATTTAGTTCTTTAAGATGTTTATTAGTTATATATATATATATATATATATATATATAAATTTACACAGAAATATCAATAAAATTAAATCCTTAAAATTTTTATTACTTATTGTTAATTGTTTTGTTAAAAGTTATTCACATAACAATTATATTGAGGTCACATCAAGCGCTATGCTTGCTACGTTTTAAAAAAATAGCTTTTTTTATAGTTTATGTGATTGGCCACATTGAACTACGTATATGCGTTATGTTCAATATATGTCGCGACGTTGCGACGCGACGCCACGAGTCGCGGAATGTTTGATTCTCGGCTATTTTTTAAAAACAGTACCATGTACGGGCATGCGCAGTAAGATCGAGAATATAGGGTAAAGTCTCCTATTATGGAATAAGTTCCTAATATTAGATAGCGGGGTTTCTGTTTAAACTAACAAGTGCATGTGTTTGATTCTATCATGAACTTTTAGTAGAAAATTCATTATTAGAATGCGTGTAGTCGTTGCAAAAAAAATTTATGAAATTAAATGTTGTCAAATTTTATTAAAATTAATCTTTAAATCTTGTTTTATTTATGCAAAAATAAATATTAGGTAATAAATTCCACATGCAGTGATAGAGTAAGATCGTATTTATAGGAAAATACGTGATATAATGATTTATTTAACTGTAAAGATTATATTTGGTGATCGTAAAACTGCAAGGCATGAAAAAATTGTAATATGAGAGATACTCAGGACATTTCTAGCTACTACGAGAGCATCTAAACAATTCAATGTCTCAAAGCATACTATCGAACAAAATGTTAAAAATGACGATTGTTAAGATTACTCACACACACATACTCACATACACACACATCGAAAAATTATATAATTATTATGTATAACATTTAAATTCTTTGTTCCTACTTGTATGTAATATGATAAAACCGTGTATAAAAAGTTTATCTTCATTTTTTCTTTAGTTTCCCGTTATGAGATATCACCTCGCATAAGAAAACTCTTATATCTTATATTAAGAATCCTTTTTTTGAATGAGCAAAATCGGCACTTCAGATAAAAAATTTCACATACAATAAATAGCTACTATCGATCGCTAACTTTTTTAGTAGTAAATCTTGAATATATTTACTATAAAATTGACATAAAAATAGGAATTAATGTTGCAAATTAAATAAATTACAAGTTTTAAAAAAAAAGGTACCTCATATTAGGCGATTTTACCTTAAATGTTTTATACCTTCCCCGCTAGTTACAAATAAGAGTAAAACAAGAAGTGATAAAAACAATTTAAAATGCAATGATGGAATCTATAAATTTTTCAGTTTCTAATTCAGATAGAAGATTTGACTCCCGGCCAAGGTAATATTTTTTGCAATGAAAAATTAATTACGTATTTTAATTACGTATTTTTTTGTTACATATAGTAAATAATATATTTAATTTTATTAATAGAAAATATTTTTTTGTAGAAATAAGAGGAGATCAAAAAAATCAATATAATCTATTTTTAAAAAAGGAATGTTAAATCGATACTCGAATCCATCGAAGTTTTTCCATCGAAGTTTTTTTCTCTTCGTAATTGGTTCTCTTTGTAAGCGGCTGTCATCTCATATTTTGACAGTTGTCTAGATTGAGGGTTAATAGTATTATAATAACAGTATAACATTATATGCATTTATGTATATAAACATTTAAACAGGTACAGTAAAAAGTAAAAAATACAGATACAAACAGCGTACGCAAAACGCGCGTCTATAATGCTAAAAATAAAAATTAATATATAAACAATGTTTTATTAAATTAATTAATTATGAAATGTTTTAAATATTTTTTAGTCATAATTAGTTATACAATTATCCTATTTATATAACTTACTTTTTTCGAAAACTTTCTTACTAATATTTTGATTTGTGAACACCTGTAATATCATAAATGCAATATTAATTAAAATGCTTTCATTAAAATGCATACATTAAAATATTTTGACTGGCAATAATTTTTATTATAATATTGGAGTATACTCTTAACAACTTTAATGTTTAAAATAATATTTATGTGTGTGGTAAAAATTATTAATATAATTTATGTTTATGATAATACAATGTAAATTCTTAAAGATATAAGTATATTAAAAAATGAAAATAATAAGTATTAATAAAAATTTAATTTTATTTATAATTAATCAAAGATAAGTAATCATTGTACATATATGTTAATTTTAATATATGTATTATACACACACATATATACATATATGTATATAACGTGTGTATATAATATAATAACGTTTACGCGGATGAAATTCACCGATAAAAACAATGAATAATTTAAAGTGTCTTTTTAGCGTAATATAAAGAGTTTTTTATTGCTTCAACAATAGTGCTTCTTAATTTTATTAAGAAAAATGTTTTCTTCTTAAATTTCCTTATTTATCAAAAAGAGTTATTTATTTGTGTATATAATAAAAAACATTTATTATAAAATTATTTTACTCTTTTGCATTTTCAAAGTACTTAATTTTATGATTGATGTACATTATAAATATTTGCCAACAGAGCAAAGAAATAAAAATGACTCTCTTACAGGTTAAAGCATTATGATGCAACGGCAAATTATGATTACTTTGTGTATTTTGACAAACCTAGCTGCATTGTTTTGTGTCTCTGCATATACTCATAAAATTACTCGTGTTCTAACACTACCTGCTTATGTTATTGCTTGGGAAACTGATGTTATCAGCTCAACAAAATGCGGAAAGGAATTACAAAATTTCCGAAATGCTGTTGATCAACGAATACCATGGAGCTTGAAAAGTATGTAAATTTCGGATAATAATCATGGGTAACACACGTGTCTGAAAAGATAGGAAAATTTATAGTTAAGAGACAATCTTATATAGAGTTTGGTTTACATTTAATTGTATATATAACTGCAAACATTTAATTAATTTAAGTAAAATCTAATTTGTGAACTAATGTAATATTAGTACAACCAGTCTAAAATTACACATAAAAAAAAGTATATGTGGAAAGTTAATTAGTAGTGTTATAATTGTAATAATATTGTAAATATTATAATATTTTACTATCTTTTTGTTAATCTTTTAAGAATTTGTTTGTAAAATGTAATACAAATATTGTTTCTCAAGATTACATAACACCTGTTGATGATAGTAATACATTATACACAGTATTCGAAAAATTATAATTTTTCGGATATTGGGTATCTATGACTCATTTTTCTAGAATATGATTTCATAAAACAAGATCATATAATTGATATACTAAAACAATATCGATAGGTATCTAAAAATTTTGATAATGATGTAAAATGAACAAAAAGCTTTTTGATACTCTTTTTTATAATATACTCGTATAATTAATAAATATTAAAGAATTAACAGTAGTAAAATTAGTACATATTAATTTTGTGTAAATAGTAACAATCTAATTTTTATTTTTTAGTGTTAGATTCCAGTGGTGAATTTGAATCAGGTTTTCTTTACGGAAATACTTATTGGCTCGGTAGTCGCAGTCAGTGTCTCGATACGATGAATACGGCTCCTTTACAGATCGCAGAGCAGAAAATATCAAATATTACGGTATATCGTGAGCCGAATAAGGAATTTCCGCCTTTTGAAGTAAATTATTTTGTTGCTCATTTGAGACATAATAGTACTCTTAAATATTACGTAAATGTATTTAACGAGGTAAGTTTAGAGATCTTCATGTAATAAAGAAAATGTTTTAACTAGGGTTGGCAACGTTACCTCATAAAAATAACTCGTTACCGTTACCGTTTTTTTTCCTAAAAAATAACTCGTTCCTGTTACTCGTTACTGATTTGAAAAATAACTTACCGTTATAGTAACTAAAAAACGATTCGTTACTTTCTTGTTACTTTTTTTTTGACACTATTAGATTATTATGTGCAGATTTTTTTGATAAATGTAAAAAACATAAAAATTCTACGTTTTATTAGAGGAAAAAGCTAAGAAAATGTGTATATAGTTTTTCACCTTTCAATGTCTCTTGGCTTCAATTCATATGGCACCCATTTTCCTTCCTTGTAAACCTTTCCTAAGACTTTTAAACGATCGAAAATAACAGATTGAGCACAATTTAATGCTTCTGCAAATTGTTTTTGCGTTTGAAATGGGTCTCCATCCACCAATGCCTGCAATTCTTTGTCTTCAAATGCTCTTAGACAGAATGCTCTTTGCCCTCCACATCAAAATTACCACTTTAAAAGCGTCGAAACCATTCTCTGTATGTTTTATCGAAAGGAGCACCTATTATCATAAACTTCTACAAGTATTCAATGAACTTCAGCTGCAGTTTTCTTTTGAAGCAAAAGATTCGCGCAAATGATGTTTATTTGGCGCAAATTTCGACATTTTCAACCTGATATAAATGTTTATTTTCTGAAAAATATATGCTTTCCACGATTTGTTTACTAACTATATCGATATTACCTTTTTTGTATTTATTCTCTTATATAATATTTGTAAACCTCTAACTATTCATCTTGTGTTAAATTAATCCAAAAATTTAAATGGACCATTTGAAACATGCGGTTTATGTTAAATTCGACACATTTTTTCTAACTGTGTACAGGTGCGTTCCGTTTCACGCAGTGAGTATATGATACATCATTTTATCCTTGTTGTTCACCGAATATTAAAGAAAGATAAAATGATACATAATGCATGATAATGAGTGAACGCAGCCTGTAAGTGTAAACTGTGAATACAATGTGAAAAAAGGCATTGTGATTACGTGATTTAGAAAGCCAACCAGATCTATTCCTTTAACATCGCATTTCTGTATTCTATAGTTCTAGTTACGATTAAAAATTTTACGTAGCTAGAAATAAAGTAATAATAAAAGTAACTAGTGAAATCGTTACCCCAAAAATGTAGCTGCGTTACTATGAACGTTACTCCGAAGAAATTGTAACGTCGTTACCTATTCATTACTAAAAAAAAGTAACTTGTAACTGTAACGACCAGGGTTGGGTAAGTTACTTTTTCTTTTCAACTAAGTTAAGTTTAAAGTTAACAAACTTGAAAATTTAACTTAGTTAAGATACAAGTTAATGTATAATGAAATTAATTGAATTAAAAGTTAAGTTAATAAAAAAATGTAATTGAAAAGTTAAAAGTTAAAAATTTATTTTTTTCATATTTTCAGGGTTTTAGGTCACTTAATAATAATTATATATTTTATAATGTTTTGTTTCTATATATATATATATATATAAAGTCAATGTCAACACTCATTGCGTTTTTGCACAAAACTTCAAACTCTTATTATTAGAACTGAATAAATGCAGCAAACTACAAGTGACTGCGAGCTACTGCAAGCTACAAATCCTGCAAGTTAGAACCAGTGATGTAAACTCGTGTCTCTACTTGCAGGACGTTAACTGCGCTATCCATTAACGCGGAACAGAGTGGCGTATCACATAACCAATGATGCGAATATCTACTTATAGCACACGATCAGTGCCGTCGAAGGCACTGATCGGCTGATCGCATGCTGCAAGCCGGCCGGAATTCGTATCTTTGGTTACGTGTGGCTCGTATTGTGTCTGAGACACTTAACTTTAAAAAATTAATAAAAAGTTATTAGTTACCGATAAAATGTAACTAAATAAAGTTAAAAAATTACGAGTCTCAAATGTAAGTTAAGTTAAAATTAATAAACTTTTTAACATTTTAACTTAACTTTTAACTTTTTAATTTAGCACTACCCAACCCCCTGGTAACGACGTTACAAATAACGCGTTACTTGCCAACCCTGGTTTTAACAAAGTACGTTGAATATTTAAATATAAATGGAAAATTTATTTTAGGACGTAATTTCGCTCGGACTTTGTTTACCAGCATCGTGCACTATAAATGAACTAGTTTTTATTTTGGAAAGAGCGCTCCAGGATAAAATTATTTTAATTGATGATCTATATTCTGTGGATTTTCAATTAATCCAGGTTAAAGATTTAAAAGATGACAATGAATGGCTATCCAGTAATGCGTTACTTTTAGTCGGGTACGTCTCGAGAAAATATAGCAATTATTTCACAATAGTAACATCGTAATAGAGAGACGTAATATTTCAAATAATTTTTATTAAAGTAAATAAGAATTAATAGAGGAAAATCGCCAATGTTGATACAGTCTAGAGAGACACATTCTTATTTCTCAAAAACTAAATATTGCATTTTCTTAATATTCGTAAAAACATGATCTATTAAGAAAGAAATGATAAAATCTATAATTTACATATTTGTGATTTATATCTATACAAAATCAGCTAGAATCAAATTCTACAAATACGAAAATAAAATTATCTCACAATATTTACGATACGAATTTCTTTTGAGTATCGGGTTGCTTTTTTTGCCTTAATAAAATAAATTATAATTCATGAAATTTTGGAATTTTAATAGATTTGGATACAGAGATAACCCGTGAAAAACAGTTTATATAAATAAATTAATATGGCGATATTTGGCAACCTTTCTCTAATTTTTAAAAAGTTTAAAGAATTAATAAGTTAAATATGAGTAAATATGAGAAAATATCTATATATATTAATAAATAAATAATTAAGAATTAGTACAGAATTTTATTTGCAGCATAACCTTGGCGTTTTCTTTTTTTATGATAATAATTGGAACATTATATGATATATTTATTCATCAAAAGTACATGAAGGAAAATGCAACAAGTAATGGCAGTAAGCATTATGCTCAAAACCTCTAAAAATACTTTTTATATTTCCACGGACCACTTTAAATTTTAATACGCTTTATTTTTTTATTTTCAATAACATAAATGCACGTGATTTCTTTATACAAATTATTTAATAAATTTTAAATCAACAATTTTAATAGTAATAATTAATAATATAAAGTTTTTGTTTAGCTGTAATTTTGTACACGTATAATTTATTTTTATAAATAGTTTTATTTAATATTATTTTTATACTTAATCAAAAAGCATCTTGAGATTTCATAAATATACTACTAAAAATTCAGTATTGTTCGCAGATGTGAAACACGTATGTAAGGATATAAATAAGGAAGTAAACTTGTCTTCACATCGAGAAAATATAATTGGAGGAATCTTAATATGTTTCTCTGTTTATACAAATACGAAAGAAATATTTCGCACAAAATTAGATACTGGTGCAATATCCGCCCTCCATGGCGTAAGATTTCTAGGCATGTGTTGCATAATCATGTCCCATACAGTTGTTTATGCAATGGATTTTCTTGGTGAATAATTTAAAACACATTTGAATGGATCTTGTTTCATACGATTTTATTTTTTATTTATAATAAAAATTACTTTGTGTATACAGACAATAAAATATGGGTGTGGAGGAAATTTTACCATCTTAACAATTATATAGTTGGTATTAGAGTTGTATCAATCGACTTTTATTTTCTTTTAAGCGGATGTTTAGTGACTTATATATATTTGATGAGTAAAATGAACAAAGGACAGGTTGAGTCGACTAATTGTAGAGAAAAGTTAAATGAATTATTTATTCATATAATAAAAAGATTTATTCGGTACGTTATATTAATATGAGCAACAAGAAAAGATAATGTAAATGTAATGAAAGTTTTGATATAATTACTATTTTATAACATTTTTAAGATTGACACCAGCTTACATGATGGTGTTAGGTGTGTTTCAATTAAGCTCGGTTTGGTTTGATAAAACGTCACAATTTTATGTGAGTGAAAGATCGCATGAAACTTGCGCCAAGTATTGGTGGAGAAATCTTTTATACATAAATAATTTTTTTGGCCTGGATACAATGGTACGCTTAAATAAAATAAAAGATTTATTGGAGGTTATTTTGAAATATTATACTTATTCTCTAAAATTTACAGTGCATGAGTTGGAGCTGGTATATAGCTAATGACATGCAATTATATGTAATTGCTATGACATTGTTAATTTTGTCGACTACGTAAGTTAATAAGTTACTGACAAAAGTTTAATAAATTATCATTGAATAAATTTTCAAATACATACATATTATGAATTTCAGATATTTCTACACTGCTGTTACGATATTGGGTGCACTTTTAATTGGCTCAATCATTCTTAGCGGTTATACTTCTTACGTTTATGAAATTGTCCCATTTCAGACGTAAGTTATTGACATAATCTGTTTACAAGAATTAATTAAGAAAGCGGTTTTTTTTTATTGTTGTAGATTCAATGAACGTTCAAAAGAGTTTAGAGACGTCTTTTACTTCTTACCATGGTTTAGAATAAGTCCATATGTTATTGGAATAATTACGGGTTACATTTTAACGAAAAAAAGGAATAATTTGATATTAAAAAAGGTAAAATGTTGTTTTTACTTTTATAGTTTAAAATATAAATTCAATAAGATTTATAAGGATTAGTTAATAATTATTTGAAACGCGTTTAGAAAAATTAATTAAAATAATAATAAAAATGTTTTAATTCAAAAAAACGTTTACAGAAAAAACCGTTTACAACTTTCAATCCTGCATACATTACTTTTTTATGTCTTTGATTTAGTAAACAAATTTTGAATAATTATCATTTTTCTTAATAACATTGCGGAATAAGGTGTTTGTTTTCTACTGTTTTAAATAAATTTTAATAATGTATTTAAATATTTGAAATATTTATTAATTTCTTTTAGTAAAAAATAGTGATTGAAATATTTATAACTTATATAAACTATCATTTACTGATTTTCTTTATAAATTAATCAAAAATATATAAAAGCAAATAAATAGATACGTTTTATAATAATTTAATATATTTCAGAAAATTATAATTTTGTGTTGGTGTCTTGCTACCAGTTGCTACGTGTTTGTATTTAATCTTTATGAGAGACACATGTCCGTTTTGGCTACTGCAGTTTATGTTGCGCTGTATAAGTTATTTTGGGCAATACCTGTAGCATTAATTATAATAATGTCTTTTATTAAACACGGAGGTTTGTTTATTTTTTAATATATGATTATATTATATTATATTAAATTGATATATTTTTATAGTAAAACGTAACGTATCAATTTTCAATTAGTGTTCTAACTTAAAAAGAGATGTTTTAATGATAATATACGCTTGCTTTTGTTACAGATATTATCACTCGGTTCTTATCATTTAAAGTCTGGGTTCCATTTAGCAGACTCACATATTGCGCTTATCTTGTACATCCCGTCATAATACGATCGATTTACTTAAGCCGTGAAACAACAGTTCACTTTGAATTTTTATTTATAGTAAACATACAAACACATTTTAAATTCTAACTTAAGAAATAGATAAATATATTTATTCTTCTTTAATTTTTGTTTTCAGATGGTTATGGGTATAGGATATATTGTGACTAGTTATGTTTGCTCTTATATATTGTCTGTGATGGTGGAATTACCTTATATCTTATTGATGCGAATGTTCATTCCATATCGTATTATAAATAAGTATAAAATGTTTGATATAAAAATATCGTAATTTTGCATTTAAATATATTATATACATATAAATATATATATATATATTCATATATACATGTGTAATATTATATTTAAAAAATGTTGTAGCATTAATTAAAATTTATGCAATTATAAATTATAATACTTACACTTTATTATTAATATTGGTATATTATACTTATAAGGAAGATTCTTTGATTGCCTACGATTATCTACAGCTACGTTTGCACACAGCACATATTGCATACACGACATTATTGTACAGTTCTCACCTATTATTTTAATGGGTTAGAAATATTCCAAGTGGGCACTGGTCTAGGTTGCAACTTCTAAACGCGGTTGAGCCACAAATAGGTATAAGATATGTTATTTTAATTCTGTTCGGGGCGGGATTGGTAGAACCAATGAGCTCTAGTCTACAGACTCCACTGTCTACATGGGTTATGTGATTTATCTTTTTATGCAATAAAATGTCCTGTGTGCAATACGCTGTGTGTAATATTGCTGTGTACAAACGAAGCTGTACGCAATCATTTTATAGGCAATCGTAAGGATCCTCTCGCATATGTAAGCATCATTTGTCCTGTTTAATATTTGATAAATAAGGATGAAATCATTATAGAACATATAAACGTGAAAAACGAACGCATCCAAGACACTAAAGGTATATACATTTAGTACTACTGTACTCACTGAGCACTCCGTGAGATCTTGCATCTGATCTATTAAAATATTTTAACCTTAAATAGAAAATACATACATATAACAGTTTAATTTTATTAATTGTTAATTTTTTTAGCATTATATCTTTAAAATCCTACGTGGTATTATCCTTATTTATTTAATTTTAATGACATGTACCATTTGGGTAAATATCTAGAAAAGGGGAGTCACCTTCGATAACCTTGACATATGTTGTCAAGGTCATGACCCTGAGTAACCTCCTGCAGGTTTTAGGTGGCGGTCGTTGTCCGTTAAAATTGTTATGATCAAAAAATGTTTGAAAAATTACGTTTTATTTCTATTATACAGTGCGACTTCCAAGCGAAGCGATTCTCATCCCACTTGCCCTCCTGCTTTGTGCTCCTTGGTTTATTTTATTTATATTTAATTATGTTGGCGTTTTATTGTACCAGTTAAAGATCGAAAGTCAGAAACGCTTATATCAATTATTCGACAGTACATCGAACCGAGCTCAATTATTTACAGTGATTGCTGGCGAGCATATGATAATCTAAAATGTGAAAACTATACTCATAGTACAGTCAATCACGCAGAAAATTTTGTACATCTACATACAGGAGTTCACACTCAAAATATTGAAAGACATTGGAGAGATACGAAAAGCATGTTACCTCGATATGGGACTTCTAAAGTTCATTATAAACATTACTTGAATGAATTTATGTTTAAACGATATTATTTTTTACAAGAACGTATATATTGATCAATTTTTTAATATAATGACCCGTTTTTACTCACCATATCGCGATCAATGAATAATTTATTCAATAATAATAAAATATTGTATTATTAATGTAGAATTTAATTCTGTTAAGAATTGTGGAAAAAATAAAATATAGAAGATATCCATTGTTTAAAAAAATGTTAATGGCATCAATTGAAATATTTTGTTGGAATGTTGGATGACACAAACAGAATATCGACAACATCATATATTACACCTCTTTTGCAACACGCAGGATAGTGTGAATAAAAATTGAGGAATCTGCCAGTAAAGGTGGCTTTGTGATAACTAAATCAAAAATCAAATCGCATTTCTTAACAATAATTAGAGTATCTAAAAAACTTATTTTTCCTGTATTACCAACTTCTATAGTGAAATGTAATCTAGTATGTAACAGATTAAAAATATTTTATAAAATGTCATTAATGCTTTCATTAATACATCAGCGCGCAGCGCAGTAGTGCTGTAGTGTAGTAGTACAGTAGTGCTGAGTAGTGCAGGGCTGGGCACATTTCAATTACTTGTATTTGAAATACAGTATTTGAAATACAAATACTATTTTAAATACTGTATTTCAAATACAAAATATTATTTTAAAATACAAAATACATTGAATAACATTCTTGAAATACAAAATACATTGAATAACATTCTTGAAATACAAAATACATTGAATAACATTCTTGAAATACAAAATACATTGAATAACATTCTTGAAATACAAAATACATTGAATAACATTCTTGAAATACAAAATACATTGAATAACATTCTTGAAATACAAAATACATTGAATAACATTCTTGAAATACAAAATACATTGAATAACATTCTTGAAATACAAAATACATTGAATAACATTCTTGAAATACAAAATACATTGAATAACATTCTTGAAATACAAAATACATTGAATAACATTCTTGAAATACAAAATACATTGAATAACATTCTTGAAATACAAAATACATTGAATAACATTCTTGAAATACAAAATACATTGAATAACATTCTTGAAATACAAAATACATTGAATAACATTCTTGAAATACAAAATACATTGAATAACATTCTTGAAATACAAAATACATTGAATAACATTCTTGAAATACAAAATACATTGAATAACATTCTTGAAATACAAAATACATTGAATAACATTCTTGAAATACAAAATACATTGAATAACATTCTTGAAATACAAAATACATTGAATAACATTCTTGAAATACAAAATACATTGAATAACATTCTTGAAATACAAAATACAAAATATATTTTGTATTTTGTATTTCAAATTGAAAAATTGAAAGCATTTTGTATTTTGTATTTCAAATACTAAGGTTGCCAGTATTTTGTATTTTATATTTCAAATACTTTAATGATGTATTTTGCCCAGCCCTGGACTAGTGCTGTAGTACAGTAGTATCTCAAAATATTCCTAGTGCTCAGTAGTACTTTTCTATAAGGACAGTGGCCCGGAAACGTAATTATATTACCTAAAGATTGAAAATATAGGAAGAGCACCGTGTTCGAACATTCACTGTTAACTCATCGTGACACAGTGGCCAAAGTGGTTCAAAATGACAGGAGCATTATGTAAATCGTTTCAAGTATTTCGTTAAAACAAAAATTTTTTAAATTATGAATATAAAAACAATTAATTTTTTCCTAAAAAAATTTATTTTTCATACAATAATTAATAATAGACTCCTTACACACTTATACTCAACAAGATCTAAGGAACACTTTTTGAACATGCTAAGAATTGAGCAACATATAGAACATTGTAACTCGGTTAGAAATCTCATCGCAGACAAAATATTAAAAATCATTTTAAAGGTTGAAATCTCCATTTTCGAAATTTACAATTAAAATTTGTATGTGACTGATACTTTGCAGATATCCGTCGAATGTAAAAATTTTCGCAGATTTTACAAAGTTCTATGACGTGAGGTAAAAATTGCACAAAAATGTTTGTAACAGTCGAAAGAGTGAATCTTTACCTTTAATTTGCTTTTTCGACAGCTGCATGCAAACCGCATATTCGTGCAATTTTTACCTCACGCCATAGAACTTTATAAAGTATGTGAAAGTTTTTTAGATCTGACGGATATCTATTTATGTCTGTATAACTCCATAAAGTATCAGTTATTTTGAAATTTTAATTATTTTAATTATGATTTCAAAAGTAGACATTTCAACCTTTAAAATGATTTTTAATTTTTTGTCTGCGATTGTTTTTAACCGATTTATACGGTGCTCTGAATATTGCTGAAGTTTTAGCTTGTTCGAAAGCGTTCCCTACATTTTGTTCAGTAGTGTGTGTGTGTGTATTTCAATAAAGACGAAGAAAATTTAATTTATCTAAGATGGAGTCAGCGTGATAAGAAGTGTACAAATCTGTAGAAAGATTTATTTAATAGAACGTAGGATATGTAGTTACATGGATGTTTGGACATTTCGGCTACTCATTTTAGTCATTCTTTGCAAAACATAGACACGGAATCACCAAGTATCTGTCAGGAAACCTCTTTGGCCGATAATTATGCTTCTTGACGGATACTTGGAGATTCCGTGTCAATGTTTTGCTGAGAAAGGCTAAAATGAATAGTCGAAACGTCCAAACGTCAATGTAAATACATATCTTATGTTTTATTAAGTAATTTTTTACAAATTTTCTCATTTCTTACCGCGTTAACTCTTTTTTATTTAAATTAAACCTTCTTTGTTTATACTTTTCGTAGTTAATAATATGTTTACCATATTTTAATGTTAAAATTAAATTTTTCACTTTAACACGTCGATGTTCTATTTTCTTAAAGACTTTATAGAGTATATAAATTTATGAATTCAGTTAAACCGATATCATCAATTTGGTAACACATGAATAATAATTTGGGACATCCATCGTGTGACTTTTTTGAAATGTGAACATGAAGAGTTAAGAAATAATCTTTAAACAAATGTAAAACTTAAATACATTACGTACGTAAATTTCAAAGTATTGGTGGTAATTGCAATTTAATCTAAAAATACCGTTATTTTTGTAATAACTGAATAAAAAGTGCATGTTTCAATTTAAAATACTATCAATAAGTATTCCATAGAATTTTCTCTTATTCAATAAATGATAATTTTTATTATCCGTGTCGTGGAAATACAGTCCTGGAGAAGGTACTTCGAGAAACTATGATACTCCATCAGGATCTAATGCAGCAGGATTAATTATGTCGACGAGTCCATTGGCAAGGGGGCCATCATCAAAACGAAGGAAATTCTGGTAAATTGTTTTTTCATTATGATATGTAAATAAATCTGATAACAGCTTGTAGTAAATTCTACACTTCTTTTACTGACGCAAAATGGTTTCGATTGAATATAAGAACATATAATATATTTCAATTTTTGATA